CTGCTCTTTCTTCTGGTATGTTTAGTCGACTTCTTCAATGGTGGGTCCAGAAGAAGCACCTCCAGATGGGTCTGCTCCACCCCCTTGGAACCCACCAGACATGCCTCCTGGCATGTCCCCTGCACTCTTGTACAGCCTAGTAATGATAGGGTTGCAGACTTTCTCCAATTCTTTCTGCTGGTGCTCAAATTCTTACTTCTCAGCAGTCTGGTTCTTATCCAGCCAGTTGATTATTTCATTACATTTGTCAAGGATATTCTGTTTGTCTTCATCACCAATTTTGCATTGCAGTTTTTCATCTTCTGTGGTAGCCTTCATGTTGGAAAGCATAAGACTCAAGAGAATTATTGAAAGACCCCTCGTCTTGCTGCTTCTCATCCTCAACTTTGTATTTCTCAGCCTCCTGGACCATATGCTCAAGGTCTTATTTGCTCAGACGACCTTTATTATTGGTGATGGTGATCTTGTTCTCCTTGCCTGTGCTCTTATCTACAGCAGGAACATTGAGGATGCCATTTGCACCAATGTCAAATGTTACTTCAGTCTGAGGAACACCCCTGAGTGCTGGGGGGGATTCCTGTGAGCTCAAACTTGCCAAGCAGGTTGTTATCCTTTGTCATTGCTCTCTCACCTTCATAAACCTGAATAAGCACACCAGGCTGGTTGTCTGAGTAGGTGGTAAAGGTCTCTGTCTGCTTGGTGGGGATGGTGGTACTATGTTTGATCAGAACTGCCATAACTCCACCAGCAGTTTCAACTCCAAGGGAAAGAGGAGACAACCAACAGCAGTAAGTCCTGTACATGCTCAGATTTGTCTCCAGACAAAATGGCAGCCTGGACAGCTGTACCATAGGCAACAGCCTCATCAGGACTGATACTGTTTTTGAGCTCCTTGCCATTGAAGAAGTCTTGCAGAAACTTCTGGATTTGGGGGATGCAAGTGGAGCCACCAGGATGATGTCATGAACCTGTGATTTATCTAGCTTGGCATCCCTTAAGGACTTTTCCACAGGATCCAGGGTGCCACAGAGATCAGCATTCAGCTCTTTGAAACAGGCTCTGATGACTAATGTATAGAAGTCAATACCTTCATAGAAAGAGTCAATCTCAATACTCGCCTGGGTACTAGAAGAGAGGGTACACTTTGCACGTTCACAAGCAGTGCACAGACAGTGAACAGCCCTTTAGTTCTCACTAATGTCCTTCTTGTGCTTTCACTTCAACTTGGCAATGAAATGAAGATTCCATCTTCTGGTAAGAATGGAGACATTGAAAGTACCACCTCCAAGGTCAAAGATCAACACATTTCTTTCGGCACCAACCTTTTTGTCCAAGCCATAAGCAACAGCAGCAGCAGTTGGCTCACTGGCGATTCAGAGTACATTGAGACTATCGATGGTTCCAGCATCTTTGATGGCCTGACATTGGGAATCATTGAAATTGGCTAGTACTGTGACCACAGCATTTTTGACAGGTAAGCTTCAGCAATTTCTTTCATTTTGGTCAATGCCACAGAAAATACTTCTTCTGGATAGAAACTTTTGGTCTCCCCTTTGTACTCCACTTGGACCTTAGGCCTGCCTGCATCATTCACCACCATGAAAGGCCGATGCTTCATGTCTGACTGTACAACTGCATCATCAAATCTGTGACCAATCAGACGTTTGGCATCAAAAACTCTGTTGGTAGGGTTCATTGCAACTTGATTCTTTGCAGCATCACTGATTAAACATTCTGTGTCAGTGAAGGCGATGTAGCTTGGGGTGGTCCTGTTTCCTTGGTCATTAGCAATGATCTCCACTTTCCCATGATGGAAGACTCCCACACAGGAATAAGTGGTGCCAGGATCAGTGCCAACTACAGGTCCCCTCGACATGGTTGTTGGGGAGTCAGGAGTCGTAGCTGCCCATTGAGGGGGAAGAAGGGCTGCTCCTGCACTGAGTAGACCCAAACACAATATTTTGTAGTAGGAGGATTGACAAAAAAGGCCAAGGGCTCCCACGTCATCCTGGCCATCTCCAGTTGTCCTGATCTATATCTGGCCACTGGATCCAGATGGCTCTGGAGGAGAAAGTGAGGCTGATGACTTTACACAGCCATGCCTCATTTAAATCCAATTCAATTGCAAGTCATTTTTATCATCACCCTGATGTCATGGTCCTCTTCGAGAATGAAGGACAAAGCACAACCACAACCCATCACCATTGGGCGTAGATAGAGCACTGGGCCTGGAATCAGGAAGACCCGAGTCCAAATTCTGTCTTAGACATAGCTGAATGACCTTGAACAAGTCACTTAATCTCTGTCTGCCTCAGTTTCCTCATCTGTAAGATAAAGATAATAATAGCCCTACCTCTCAGGGTTGTCATGAGGACTGAGTGAAAAAAATGCATATGAACATATGATTCACAGTCATATAGCATCACTAGGGAAAAAAAAGGAGGTTTTGTTGCAACAAGTAGCTTTGGATCAGTAAAGACACTTTGCAGTTTCTTCCTTCTATTTAATTTAATTTCTTCCTTCCATTTAATTCTGAGCCCAGCTAGATGCATCTATGTCATATACACATACATATGCTCATATATGTAAATATGAAAAGTCCTAACTCCAGACACAATAGATACGGGTACATTTTTGTGAAGGTCTCTCTAGATTAAAGTCCTACCCGAGTAAATTGAGCAATGATTGCTGTTGGCTCAGTTTACTCTCCCAGAAAGGGTCTTCAGCTCCCCTGAAAGTACTAAGGGTAAACTGCAGGAAAGATTTTATTTAACCTCAAAAAAATGGGCTCACACCCAAGTCCTTTGACCATCAAGAAAACTATCTTCCATTTTCCAGAGTGCATCAAACAAACCTCCCTTCTGGTATATCCCAGAGAACCAGAGAATCTCAGTGTTGGATGGGATCTCAGAGGCCATCTAGTCCAACTGATACCTGAACAAAAATTCCTTCTACAATACACTCAAATGGTCATCAGACCTCTACTTGAAGGCCTCTAGTGAAGGTGAAGAGGAAGGCCACTATCTCCAACTCAGCCTATACCACTACTGGATAGTTATTATTGTTATGAAGTTTTCCCCTCAATATAATGAAAATATGCCTCTCTGAATCTTCTACTGATTACTCATAGTTCTGCCTTCTGAGTTTAAATGGAACAAATCTATTCCCTCTTCCATGTGATGCCCCTCCAAATTCTTGAAGATAGCTATCGCCATCCTCACCTAAATCTTATTTTCTCTAGGCTAAAAACCTCCAGTTCTTTCATCTGATTCTCATATGGTATGATCTCAAGACCCCTCAATACCTTGGTGTCCTTCCTACGGACACTGTCTGGCTTATCAACACTCATCTTAGAATGTGGTATGTGGATCTGAGCACAGAACTCCAGATGTGGTCTTAATAAAGCAGAATATGGTGTAGCTATCACTTCCTAGACTTAAGCACAATGCTGTTCTTCTAGACAGCTTAAAGTTACATTGGCTTTTTTTGTTTGTTTATTTTATGTGTTGTGTTTGTGGTTGTTGCACTGTTGTTGGGTTTTTTCCTGGATGCCATATAATACGGCTGACTCATATTGAGTTGCCAGTCCTCCACAAGCTCCAGATCTTTTTCACACGAACATATCCTATGGGTCCTCTTTTCTTGTTGTTTGATCATTTTCAGTCATGTTGGATTCTTTGTGACCCCATTTGGGGTTTTCTTGGCAAAGATACTTAGCTGATTTGCCATTTCCTTCTCTAGCTCATTTTACAGATGAGGAAACTGAGGCAAACAGGGTTAAGTGACTTGCCCAGGGTCACACAGCTAGTAAGTGTCTGAGGCTAGATTTGAATTCAGGAAAATGAGTCTTCTGACTCTAAGCCCAGTACTCTATCCACTGCACCACCTAGCTGCCAGCTACTTAAGAAAGGTTTACTGACACACTATAAGTTGGTGTCCAGAGTGCTGGTCTTGGAGTCCTAAGATGAAAGATGTTACCTGCCTCCTAGAAGAGGTAATGATGGACTAGGGGTGCAAAAGGAGATGTGTGCTTTCATAGATAACCAATACGCTGATGTATTTGACTATACTTATTTTGCACCCTGTACGCTGTGCCACCTAGCTGCTCTTGGGTCCTCCACAATCCACAATATTCACAGTATCAGGGAAATGCTAGGTTTGAGTTGCCTCCCCAGTACGTGCGGTTTCTTGACATGTTGATCCCTTTTCTATGGTACAATTTTAGCATCTTCACTTTATCAGTTTCTTATAGCACATGCTTCTCCTTAAGACTATGTGAATTTTTAAGCCTCTTTCTAGGTACCGTGTATAGCTCAGTACATGTTTTTACTCCTTGTCAAATGAGTGCTCCCTCTAAATACAGAAGCAGATTCTTTCTTGGATACGTGCCCTTGTAGTCCTCTTCCTATGAGGTGAAAGGAGCTGATCCAAACAAAGGAGTAGGAGCTTACCCAAATAAGGGGAAGGAGCATCCCTGGATGCCAGAAAGAGAGAATATCACATAGCCAAGTTTGGATTCAAGGTCTAGCTCAGCTCTACACTTCCTATGTGCTTCTGGGAAAATTGATTAACCTTTATGTGACTAACTTTCCTCGTATATACTGAAGGGGCTGGATTAGATCAGGGCTTCTTAACCCTTTTTTTGACATGTATTCCTCTTGGCAATCTGGCGAAGCCTAACGGTTTCTAAGAATAATGTTTTTAAATGCATAAAATAAAATATGCATGATTGCAAAGGAAACCAATTCTGTTGAAATGTAGCCACCACAATATTTAAAAAACACATTCATGCATACCAGGTTAAGAAACCTCACACTAGACAGTCTCTAGGGTTCCTAATATCTTTAACATCTGGTATTTCTATAATTTCTATAATGATTTCTTCAAATGAGTTAGCATTTTAAATTGCTATGTACATGCTAATGATAATGATGATGGTGTTCATCTATCTTAAAAAAAAAGTCATATCCTAGAAGAAAAAACCTACTGTATGAGTGGCACTTCAGTTTTATTTATTAGAACATATAATACACCATTAACTGATTGTTTATTGCTCTTTCGCACCTTTGATACAGTGCATTATTTCAGAATAGGGAGGATAGGATTAACTGATGGGAAGATCATTTGTCTTACATGTGCATTGGGATAAATCCCACTCTCATCCTGCCATGAATGGATACCTATTCTTTTAAAACCTCCAACATCATTGAACTGAGAACAGCATTTTCTGCGAACTGTCGAGTAAATATCCTGGAGGGGTTGCATCTATGGGAATAAGAGAAACATTTTTGAAGTAAACATAAGTCATTTGACCATTACTACTATTTAACATATTGGTGTTATAGACAAAAGTTCATTTCCAAATAATTAAAAGATTTTATCTCCAAATAAAATACTTCATTGGCAAAACTGGCCAGTATACTCACTAACACTTTGTGGAAAAGTGATCTAGTTCATTGTTAAGAATATTATGCAAAGTGTTTTTTTTTTATGTGGAATCCTCTTAAACAATTTTAGAGTAAAGAATGACTTTATTTAAAATTTATGGCTAAAACTACTGGTGAAGTTGTATACTGATTTAACCATTCTATAGAGCAATTTGGAACTATGCCCAAAGGGTTATAAAATTGTGCATACCCTTTGCACTCCTAGCAATACCACTACTGGGTCTGTACCCTAAAGAGATCAAAGGAAAAGGAAAAGGACCTATATGTACAAAAATATTTCTAGCCCTCTTTTGTGGTGGCAAAGAATTGGAAACTGAGGGGTGCCCTTCAGCTGACGAATGGCTGAACAAGCTGTAGTATATGATTATAATGGAATACTATTGTGCTATAAGAAATGACAAGCAAGTTTTCCAGAAAAACTGGAAAGACTTATGTGAACTGATGCAAAGTGAAGTAAGTAGAATAAGAGAACATTGCACACAGTAACAGCAATATTGCTCAATGATCAACTGTGAATGACTTTGTTATTCTCAGTAATAAAATGATCCAAGAAAATTCTGAAGGACTCTTGATGAAAAATGCTATCCACCTCCACAGAAAGAACTGAGAGTTTAAATGCAAATCTTTATCTGTTTTTCTTGATTTGGGGGGTTTGGGGTCTGTGTTTTCTTTCATAACATGGCTAATATGGAAATACATTTTGCATAACAGCACATGTATAGTCTATATCAAATTGCTTGCCTTCTCAAGGAGCAGCAAGGGAATAGAGGGAGAAAGATAGTTTGGAATTCAAAATTTTATAAAACCAAACGTTAAAAATTGCTTTTACATGTAATTTGGGAAAAAAACTAATTTAATAAATAAAAGTTATGGCTATAAAAATCAGATCAGGATATTTAGCCACCATTCAACATTTTTATTCATACACATTACACACATTCCAAAGAGTCATATTTCTGGTCTGCCTTTATTCCTTGGAGCAATGAAATCATGATTCCCAGGACAATGGTAAATTCCAAGCCCCAGAGAAAAAGCAGCATTGCTATTTCTCCTGGGAATTTGCCTTAGCAAAACAAAGACTGTTGTCTGGATAATTCCCCTGTCCTGTACTGCATCTCAGAAGTCATTTGTCAAGACACCATATCATTGACCAAATCCCAAAGGAAATATCAATTTTATAGAAGTTACTCATAACATTGCTGCTGAAAGCAACCTGTATTATACTAGACCTTTGAACTGGTGAGCTAATGGCTACTTTCAATCACGATTAATTTTAAACTAAAAGGAGGATGCTAAAAAAGTAAACATTTAAATCTCAACCTGTGAAACAAAGCAACCAAAGACCATCAAAAAATGATTTCTCTTCCATGAAGTGAATCACTGGATTGGCTACTGCTTTTCCCCTAGCATCATGTCTGAGGATATGCCAATCTTCAAGAAAAAGAGAAGTCACTATCAAAGTGAAAAGCCTAAATTTTATTTAGTTCTTGGCTTCTCTTGCACCATATAAATTAACTGAAAAGTTGTGTGTTTATTTGTTTGTTTTCTTTAAATTACAAAGACCATTTGGCCTTTGTAACTACATAAGACCTGCTCAATTTTGCCTGTTTTATTCTTTCTTGTAAAGTAAATAACCCTTGGGTTGGATATGTAATCTAAAAAAAACACTAGATCTTCATTTCAGATGAAAGTAACGTCTTGAGAAGTTCAGTGATCTGAATTATAGCCTCATTTTTAAACTGCAGTTTGCTACCTTCTCTACTCCCTTGCCTGCTTTTTTATAGCATCATGGGAGATGGTGTAAGAAAGGTCTTTAAAATAGCACCTAGTCTAGGCCCCTTTCCTACAGTGATCCTATAGTGAGTTAAATGTCTAGCCTATCTGGATTAATTGGATGCCTAGTTTCTTATTACCTAGAGCAAAGAATTCCATGTGGGGGAGAGAGAGATAGATAGAGGAGAGACAGAGACAGAGATAGAGAGAGAAAGAGACAGAGAGAAAGTACAAAGTGTGTGTGTGTGTGTGTGTGTGTGTGTGTGTGTGTGTGTACACTGAGGTGGGAAGGCGGAGGTACCCTCTTCCCCTGCTCTGGGGAGCAGTTGACTACACTGGCATTTCCATGAGAATATTTAGTGGTTTTGAAAGCAGGAAGACTTTTCACATGCGGGGAGTTTTGTAGTAAGCAGAGACCAGCCCAAATGTAATAAGAAAAAATCTATAGATAAATATTTAGAGACTGAACAGTAGAAGCTAAGAGGCATAAGGGTAATAACACCCAAGACTTATCATTTGTAGTCTCATTCCCTTGTGCCCTCATTATGGTGTCGGGGTAAGTAGGACAAAGTTTGGGGCTCCTGGTGCTCCTGTCCTGTGCACACAGCTTGCAATGCTGCGGAAGCAAGTGATGATGAGAGCTGTGGTCAGCTCTAGTCTCAATGACTACCTCAAAGCTTCATCTAAATGTAAATTGTTGGGTTTTCATCATCATCATCATCACCTCAATTGTACTAGCAGCATTTGCTTCTAGTTTTCCAGCCATAGAGAAGGAAGAGTTCAGGAGTTCTAGTCACCTAATTGCTCCTTCCTTGATTTCTGTCACAATTTGTCCACCAGGCTACGCCCTTCTGCCCCCAGGATGTCCCTTTATACTGCTTATGAGTTAAATAAATTGTAACTATAGTTGAAGCCTCTCCAGTCCAGGTATCCTCAGATCTGATAATTGGCTTATAGTATAATGCACAAAATTTGTACCACACCTGACCCTCTACTGCCCCCTAGTGTCTGTTTATACCACAACCCCGCCTGATGTGCAGGTTAAAATTTTGGTGTACTAGCAACATATATGTTGCCTAATAACAATGATAATAGCTCATTGAGGGCAGGGACTGTTTCTGCTCTTACTTTGTGTCCCCATATCTTAACACAATGCCTGGCACATAGTAAGAACTTAATAAATTCTTGTTGATTCTTTCATGTGGCATTTTAAAGTTCACAAAGCCTTTCCATACATGAGTTTATTTGCTCTGATAGCCATAAGAAAAAGACAATCATTAGAAGTTAGATTGGGCAGTAAAGACTTCATGGAAAAAGAGTCTGAACTCAAGTCTAGAAAGACAGGAAATGTATGGATAGGCATAGAGTGAGAATGAGCAAGGCAAGGGATAGATACAGACACAAATAGATTAGTTTGGTTTGGGGTAAAAGGTTGGAAAAACAGATGAGTTGGAATACCAGACTCAGGAAGTTATCATTTATGTTATAAACCATAGAAAGCCATTATAATTTACAAGATATAATCAGATCACAAGATTATAGAATTATGTAACTACAGCTTGAAGGAGTCTTTGACCCTACCTCCAACTCCATTGTTTTAGAAGTGAGGAAATGGAGGCAGAATGTAGTTAAGTGATTTTCCCAGGGGTCACGTAGCTAGTAAGTGTCTTAGGTAGGATCTGAACCCAGGTCTTCCTGACACAAGTCCAGTACTCTATCCACTATGAACAAAAGTGGAAAGGCACTGGAGGTACTGGGACTGTAGGTGATATCAGGGATTATAGGATAAGGAGTCAGGACTATGAAATATGGAGAGTGGATGAGTGTAAAATAGAAAATACAACAGGTAGAGAAATAGTCTAGAGTGACCCACGGTGAATTTGTTCTGAACAGTTCAGTCATTTTTCAGTTACGTCTGACTCTTTGTCATTTTTTTGGTTTTTCTTGGCAAAGATACTAGAATGGTTTGCCATTTCCTTTTCCAGTTCATTTTCCAGATGAGGAAACTGAGGCCTACAGAGTGACTTGTTCGAGGTCATACAGCTAATAAATGTCTGAGGCCAGATTTGAAGTCAGGAAGATAAGTCTTCCTGACTCCAGGCTCAGAACAGTACACTATACCATCTAACAAGTGGCCAAAGTAAAGTTGGACTTCTGTAATCAGGTAAGTAGCCCACAATGGGAAAATTCAGGTAGTAAAGGTCAGAAACAGATAGGCAAGCCAGAATAAGAGTATACAGCAGGTCAAATACTACTTAATGGATAGAAATTGTGAGGGGGCGCAGAGGAACAGACTTCAAAATGAGATAAGTGGTTAAAAAGACCAAATTTACAGTAAAAAAAATCTAGAGGGTAGGAACACTGGCAAACAGAGCAAGACTAGTGGTCAGTCTAAAGTAATAGTCAAAATTCTGAAGGACCCATGATGAAAAATGCTATCTACTTCCAGAAAAAGATCTGGTAGAGTCTGATTGCAGATTGAAGCCTGCTTTTTTACTTTCTTTATTATTCTTGGTGAGGTTTGGGTTTTTTGGTCTTTTTCTTTGCAATGGCTAATATCGAAATATGTTTTGCATGATTGAGCATGTATAATCTAAAACAAATTGTCTGCCTTCTCAAGCAGAGGGGAGGAGGGAGTGAGGGAGAGAATTTGGAACTCAAAATTTTTCAAAAATAAATGTTAAAAAAATTTTGTTTACATGCAATTGAGAAAAAAATAAAATAAAAATTAAATGTAAATTTTTTAAATTTAAAAAGCAATAGTCAACATGTCAACAGAAGACATATATGTGTAAAACTCAACATATTTATGAAGGCACACAAGATACACCTTGGTCACTGAGGTAGTTTCCTTGCTTGGGCTATAGAGCTTCTAGATTTCTGTCAGTTATACATTTGACTTCAATCCCAATAGGGCTAACCTGGGCCCTATAGGCAGAAACAAATAATAGAGTACATCTGAATAAGGTAAAGGACCTTTTTTGGTTTTACTGTACCCTACTTAGCATCTGGAATGCATTGAGGTACTAATTTATTTCATAGCCA